TATTTACTTTAATTTTTAGTGCCGACTTTAGCTTCAATGATATCACCGCGCACCGTTAACATACTCATAGTCTGGACAGCACCCTTCTAAATCCGAAAAGTGTCATACTTGTAGTAAATATTTGGTAGAATTCGGTCCAGGACAAGCTATTAAATTTTTTGCTGCGCTCCGGTCTATCACAGCAGTTTTCCTAATACCGTAGAGAAGTTTTTTTTATTAACAAATAAAACTCGATTACTAGACTCCTAGCCTGATACGAACTAAATTAAAAATTGCTCATAATGAACTTATCATCTTATCATAAATAAAAATAAATGCTGTTAGCTGTGAGCTTTTGCTGGTCCCATGAATATAATTCAATGGATATGATATAATATAAATATTCATATACTTGCACATTTACGAGTCTTCTGAATCTATTATATTACATAATACACGACTTCTCATTTCATAATTCATATCAAACATTTATATACTCATGCAGCGAGAACAAAATATTTAGTGTCGAAACTAACACAAGCAGTCATATTGCCGTGTTGTAAAACGGCCGACCGTTTACTACAAGTTAAGTCAAGTCAAATCAAATCAAAACATAGTTTTAAAAAACGTATACGCTATCTGCAACATTTGACATCTAGCACAACGTGCACAGTCTGGTTTAGTCAACAATGTTACCTGGGAACCTCAGGCTATCATGTTCATTAATGAATAGAGATTCGGCGGAATGACAGGCTGAGCGCTGCCCAATAATCAACAATGCAGCTCTAAACGCTGCGGACTTGCTATTATAAAAATTGATGAGCGCTCGATTTGAAATCCCGACGCGCATAAAAACTGCCACTAACTGCTACTAACTGCCACTAACTGCCACTAACTGCCACTAACTGCTACTGTCGCGCGCAAATGCGTGGGCGCGATTGTAGCAGTTAGTGGCAGTTAGTGGCAGTTAGTGGCAGTTTGTAGCAGTTAGTGGCAGTCTGTGGCAGTTAGTGGCAGTTTGTGGCAGTTAGTGGCAGTTTGTGGCAGTTAGTGGCAGTTTGTAGCAGTTAGTGACAGTTTCTTTGCACTTAGCTCCTCCTGTGTATATAATATAAACATGAATGTTGGCTAAGTGAGCCGCGCAAGCGTTCGCGCATGTGTCGATCGCGCGATTTGGCAATATAGTAGCGCTTAAGTAATTTAGCTACAAAATTTCTTTGCACTTATTAGTCTCCTTGCGTTAATAGCTCAGTCAGTGACCTCAGGTTCATAATCCCGTAACCTCAGACCCAATAAATGGGTTTTGGCCTGGGCAGCCCCCTAGCTGTTCACTGTTTGTACGTTTATAACCTACCAGGACACGCGCCGAGTTGGACTCGTCGACGGTCCTGAATATTTGAAGCACATATTTTACGAGTATCACTCCGTCACCCATTTGCTCTAACCAGAGCCCTCTCGCTTGCAGTAGCGCGCGACCGCCGTACGCGTATACACATGGCTATGTGAAGTCACCCATTAACCCCCTGTCACCTGATTTTTAGGTGACGTACGAGTACGACACTTCGTTGACCCAATGAATGTCTGGAATGTTGCAAATTTTCACATACCAAATTTACAAGATTTGAAGATTCTTAAAAAGTTTTGGTTGACGATGTCAACCCATCGAAATCGTTGCTTTGCGAAGCAGAGCAACGATCGACGAAGCAAGAATGCTAGTTCGCGCGGCGCGTCGAAGCGGCAAAGTCATCCAATAAGAAGTTGTGCGAGATCATGGCGATACAAAGAGGCCGCAGAATTATTATGAGGACTACCAGATCTTGGTGGAACCTAAGCGATCCATGATATCACGACAGGCTCTAATCAGTCACTGAGTGACCAATTGAAATAATTCTTCTTCATAAACAGATATTAAACAAACAGTAAGAATAAGAATTTTAGTGCCCAAAATTTGAACTGCCAAGTGGTGTCAAAAACGCAAATTAAATAGGTCATAATTATTTCATTCTTTCGAGTCTTGACACCACTTTTTTTTTCTTTTTTTTTTGTTGTTGGTGCAACACTTACTGAGATTTAATATAAATATAAATCTTGCGAGCAAGCGACCCATGAGAACGATGGGTCCTACTGAAGCCCAGCTGATTTGCATCGAGTCCACTATTCCTAGACGAACCTGCTGGTACCATTGCTGAGCAATGGCAGTTGGGTTGGGGGCGCCCTTCCTAAGAATGACTGCCGTAGATCCCGGGTATTGCATACTTATATTTGATACGCGTTTATTTCACATAGCCAAGGAATACAAGGAATACAAGGAATACAAGGAATACAGGAATACAGGAATACAAGGAATACAAATTTAAAATCTTTAGTTACAATAGTAACTGTTAAGATAATAACAATATCATATGATTTAGATTTATTATATTATATAACTTAAACCAAAGTGAAAAATAAAGATTTTGACAATAAATATTTTGTTTACAGTCGCCTTGGTAATGCTGTAATGTTTGAGCCAGGTCACTCTGCACTCATTGTTGCGCAAAAAGAAACAGCGCTGGTACAGTGATGTTTAATATTCATGTACTGGCCAGAGAGTCGACGAATTTCTTGCGGTTGTTAAAACAAGTAGTGGCAAATCTAGCAACGACTCTCGTGAGGTGGACTTGACTTTCGTTCGTGATTAATTCAATGATTTCACTGCTGTTGCTGATGAGTTTGAGAACGTTTGATCCAGGGATGACAGCGTGAACAGGATAAGATGTCGCAGATGGTTTGTTTGGATTTGATATGATTGACTGGATCTTGTCTAGGACTTTTCGCCTCGATGCGGCGTTAAGATCACAATGGTTAAGGAAGTGATCTTCACTCTCAATAATACCAGAACCTAAGACTATATTGCACCAAGAGCATATTCGCTCGTCTCGAGGAGTTTGATTATATCGGCCAAGTTCAATTTCGAGTCGATGTGCACTGATCCGTAGTCTTGTGATATTAGCACGGTCGGCATATTTAATGACACTGTCTAGGTAATATTCTTTGTTGAATTTGGATTTTAGGTCACGATAAAATTCTAATTTCCGAGAAGTGTTGATACAGGACCCCCAATATTCTCTAAAGCTACATTTCAAACTTTTAGTAATGACGTGGGGTGTGAATATTTTACTTCCGATGGGTTGTGTTGATTGCGGAGGAATTCGTTTCTTGAAACCGTTGTGAATAAGAAAGTCCTCTTTTGGTGGTTTTGCGATATTCGGGTTTCTTTCAGAAATTAACTTGGAGTGATTGTTTTTGAGTGTGCGGTAGGCTGTGACATGATCGGTAGAGAAACATGGGTCTAGCGCGAGGACAGGCTCCAGACCTCTGTACCAGTCCGATTTCATGTTCATCTGTTCCTTGAAGGCTAATGAGACAAGGGAGTTATCTTTGAGATTTTTCAAGCGTTGGCTATATTTGAGAGTAAGGTTAATGCATTCATAGATCAATGGGTAGCGGCCTGACTCACCCCAACCTCAAGCCATGTGTCTACGCGTACTGCGTGACGCGCTTGTTTCACGCGCTACTGCAAGCGAGAGGGCTCTGGTTAGAGCAATGCGTTTATAGTTATACTAACTCCTTGCTAAGCCATTAATCTTACACTCAACCTCAAGTTGATGCCGAGGAGTTAATGTTTTGGTGTATTTAGTGTAACTGGTATATATTGGTGACGTGCACAATACACAAGGCTAAGTACAAAGTAAGGTATTTGCTCGTCTTATCGGATGTAACGGCAATGTGTACACGTTATTATATATATTGTGTGTTGTGTGTTTGTTGCAATTGGGTACGTTAATTCGAAGCGTTGTCACGCTTTCTACTCACATACACCCGCCTCCGAGAGAATTATTCTCAGAACTAAGTGTAGTTCTCGATTTGTTGTAATTGATGTGGTTTACTCTGCTGTTTCCACACAGCAGGAGGGGGGGGGGGTTCGGGGGTGGGATAAATGATGCAGTGCTGGGGCTCTAACCAGCGATCTAACGATTGCTGGCCGCGCTGCCCGACACTACACCACCAAGCCCAAGGCTAGTGGCAGAGTCGGGAATCGAACCTGGCACCTCAAGCAATGCCAGGCGGATTTACCAACTGAGCCACCAGCTCCCCACTTATTTAGGCTTCCTAGAAGCAGAAGGGTTCCTGCTAGTAATGAAGCTAAGAAAGCGTGTATTAGTTAGTTTGGTGATAACAGTTAAAGAGCGTAAAATGATGGATCATCATCCGGAATTGGACCACGGTGTGGGTCTGCTCGACTAGTAGACAGTATAGTATACTCCACACTTTTGTCTTTGATTTAAATTGACAATACTGAATACTGGGCACGCACGCGCAAGTCTCCCGTCCCTTGATACGAGAACCACCCCAATTAGCAAGAGCTCCCGTCCCTTATGTGATCTACTAGTCGAGCAGTCAAATCTTAAAGATCGTGTTTACTTCTTAATGTAAAGATATGATGTACAGAATTGACATGTCACCACTCACCAGTCACATGTGAACCCATTTCTAGGCAAATTAATTGTAAATTCTACTGATTGATCACATCACTAATTATACGTCACTAATTGGTGACATAATCTGAACCTTAATAATAATTGTGTGTCCCCCTTAGTCGGCCTCCCACTAATTCACTTTGAGCTTGCATGATCAGTGATCATGCACGCTCAAAGTGAATTAGTGCACGCTCAAAGTGAATTAGTGGGAGAAAATGTTGATCAGTGTAACGTGATCATTGATCACGTTACACTGATCAACATTTTCTAGGGTCATATAACCTAAGTTACGTAATAGTGTGAATAATAATCATTGTTCATCCGTTTGCAAGTGTAGGAGAGGAAACGTGATTGTTTTTATACTCTTTCGAATCAGCTAATTCACCGAGTTGGGTAAAGTTATGTTGCCATGGCCTTGCATTAATTTTTGCTATCAAGGAACACCAGCCTTGCCCGGTCAAAGACTATTAATACAGAGTAATGTAAGAAAATACAACTATCTTCTAGGAAAGTGGGTTTCTAAAATGATACTTGATTGAAAATACTGAAACATTATGTTGTATATATACAACAATATTTATGCTGATTCGCAACAAAATATAACCATCAAAGACTATCAAAGAACTATATCTGAATGCAACAAGAATTAAAAGTGTATTGCATTGTACAGGTATTTTGAAATTATACCAATCAATTAAGTGTAATTACATGTAATATTAAAATAAATCATGTACAACGAGATAGGAAGGTGATTCAAAAAAGCTCAAATCAAAGCAAACATACTGAGATATAAGAATCGAAAATAGCGTAGTTTTAGGTCAAACAATTCAAATTCTGAATAAAAGCACTTAACAGGTAAAGAAATAACAGGTTAAAATAACTCACTGGCGTTTAGCTATTATACGTCCTAATTTGCAATAAATATTGATCACACACGCATCTATTGAATAAAAAGCTTCTGAGCTTAGGGGCTAGGCAAATCTTACTACGATAACAAAACTGTGTCTATTCGTCTGTTTTGATTTATCACGATTTTGAATTTCATGTGTTCGCCATTCTCACATTCTGCTCTATGTCTACACGTATAATCGAAAATACTCAATGATAACATCTGATTATCTGTCTATATGAATATCCTCTTGCTAGCACATTTCCAACATGATATGTCTATTGTCTATATCCTATTATAGCACTAGCACATTTCCAACATCATCTGTCTATATCCTCTCACTGCCCATGTCTGGAAGATAAACCATATCGGTGCCAGCATCCCCCGCGTCCTCACCAGCCACACTCATCTGCAGAGTATTACTACTGACAGCAGGTTGGGGTTCCGCTGGTGCTAGCTCCACATCCTCTATAGCCAGATCCCCTTCTATATCTGGGTCAACTTCTCCTGGAACCTCCTCCCGCTGGTCTGTGTTTAAGATCTTCACTTCCTTCTCATCCTCCTCCTTTTTATGCTCTTCTGCTTCATCCAGGGTCGCGTATTGGTTCTCCGCCACTAAACAGCTGTCTGTGTTCGTCTCGTTCGTTTGTTTCTTCCTTCTTCTTCTTCCAGTTCCCTGGGGGAGGATCGTGTTATTTTGCAATCCTCGTTTAAACATTATTTATTTTCATTAATTTACCTAGTACAGACAAAAGAGTATTTTTGTTTTTACTGGAAAAAGTAACAGATGGGATAAGTTGACTGTAAGGAAAAGGAAGAAAGATAAGTTAAACGCTAAACGCTAATCATTGTTCATACAGTTTGATCAGGTTCCTTGTGTATTTCTATCGTATCGTACGCTGCTTCCTCGTCATTTGCTCTCATGGATTGTAGTCCAATGTCTGGAACAAAATAAAGATACAGTAAAGTTTACAAGTGTGATAGAGTTAAGGACCAGTGTTTATTAAAACTACCAAAATATGTTAATTGTTAAATCTTAAAATGCGCATACGCAGTCCTTACAATTCGAATTTAGCTTAAAACTTGCGCATCCAAGGATTAAGAAACAGCAGATATAGGTAGAAGTTCTACTCCTGGATAATGTCAGCTCATGCTTATTGATATTTGTCAAGGTAACATTATGGGTATTAATTATTATCGACATGACTTATGAGTTATGGTAGCTGATCAATATGTAAAGATGTAACTGTCTAGTTAACAATTATAATTTTGTTAGTTATTATAGAGGTAACGTTCGAAGAAGTTTAATCAGCAAAGCTGAGTAAGTCTCAAAAAGAAACTAAGAGCCAATGATAGAGATTGACTAAAAGCCTTTTAATTTTTAAGCATAAGCAGCATTTTGGGGTGCAGCTGTTCAGAAGGGCAGCTGTAACTACCTAACTCCTCATACTCCACATCCTCAACAGGTGTCAATGTCATATTGGAGGTATCTTTATCATCACCTTCAAGTTTACGTTATAGAATAACTTCGTAGGCTCAATTCGTGTTTACGTTACTTCGATAACGACGTAAATCAATTCGTAAATCAAATCATGAATATGGATACAATATGGCATTCAGATATATATATGTTCATATGCAAGCCGTTTGATTTATATATATATATATACAAAATGAAACGATCGGTTGAGTCAGACAAATGTTTCAATCATGATACAAAACCATGATATCATCAGTGAGTTGATCTAGCTCTCGGCTTGCCGATTGAGCACTGTCAGCAGACGACGCCACCCACAATTATATATATACATATAAAGTTTATAATTTTTTCACTGCTGAGCAAAAGTTGATGGTTAATGTGATGTGTGAGGGTAAATGAATAACTTTGCAAAAACAGAGTTGTAAGATCACCAACCTTCTAATTTCACCACATTTCCTCCCATGAGTCTTGGATTTGGTTGAGCCTGGAAAGGCATGGGGGCCGAGAGGGGTGCTGCACTGATCCTCTTAGGACGGTTGTTGGTTCCAACCCGGGGTCCTGGAGGGACTATAGCTGATATTCTTTTACCTGAGGGGATGTGAATATTAGTTTTGAAAACTGTATAGGCTGAGATTCACTAAGATATTCCTGTTTTGGATTTTTCCGTCTGATTCATTTATGTATGACCTAAGAACCCGTTAAGAGCTCCTAAAATGCAGATACAAAATTGTCAGCAATCGTAAATCGTAAAATGCAGAATTATTTTGTGGGGGAAAATGTTGTAAATAGAGACAAAGGTATAAGTTCTGTCTGCGATGAACCGTGAATCTGGAAACATTGAACACCTCCCACTTGCAGAGCACAAGAACGCAAAACATTGAACGCGAATGAAAGGTTTGAAAGTTCACTTGATCAAGCAATAACTAAGGACAGAAAGATGTCCGGAATACTGCAACATTTTCACCATCGATTACACACAAAGGTTTACGTTGGCACGTTACAACATAAAACATTTCCTTTTGTTTGACCTTGATTAACTCCACTAAGTCGAGGTTGGAGGACTGTGCCGTGTCTTGGACCTAAAAACGATTGGATCAGGGCTTAAAAATTATGGTCCATTTTCTACAACACTCTCCAACAATCAACAATCAAAAACACTTAAAAAACGACACAGAATCTCTTTAAAACAAGTTATAACATTGTGAACTACTAGGTTTTAGCAGCACCTGTCTGTCGAGGACCAGGTTGTATTCTCACGCTGGAACTATTTATCGGTCCTGTCGATATAACATGATGTCAGATAGTGGGACCCTTCAAACAACACATTCATCATGGCTACTAAGTGTTGAGATCATATTTCTTCAATCAATAATAGTTGAACTTATGTCGATCTGCGATCATCATCATAACTATGATAACAAGTTTAGTGCACATACGAGCTCACAATTAAGTTCGAACCAAAAGTTGAAAATGCACAAGCACAAACGAAAATTTACACAAGAACGAACACAGTGGAGATAAACCTGACGTTATTTGGGATCTGGGAGTGTGTAGTGATGTGTTGAACTGGTGGGGACCTGAACCAGATCACAGAGTTAAAATATCCTAGAATCTTCATAAACACTGTTTGGGATCATGAAGTCTCTTCCAAGCTTGGACACAACTAATTAGCTAATTGACGGGCGCAGGCTAGTTAATTAAACAAAGGCCATACATCCGGATCCCGATGGCACCGTCGCGACACAAGGCTAGTAAATAAAGGGTAATGCTTTAATGACACCGTGGTTATTGTGAAAAGATAATAATGAAGGTATAATGATCGTCTTATGCTTTTGAACGAACATGATTGAAAGTTGGCACGGTGCCGCCAGAGTGCCACGAAAGTGCCACGAAAGTGCCACGACAGTGCCATCGGGATCCGGATGTATGACCACAATTATTATTTCTACAAAAACGTTTCAAATTAAGTTATATCATCTACATTAAGTAGCAGGATTGTTTCACCGGAATGTATTCGAAGCTACCCACAAAGAAAAAACTTGACACCTCAGAAAAAGCAACATTCTATTTTTTAAACACATCGACTATCTCAACAAGCACTTTGAAACGGCACATTCACACAACATGAGATGACCTGCTTTCCTTGGTCCAGCACCAACACTATGTCGAGGCCCCAGAGTAGTATTGTTTCGGGGTCCCGGGCCCTTATTAAGACTAGGACCTGCTGTCGTGCTTAGTCGAGGACCTGCTGCCGTACTTAGTCGAGGACCTGCTGTCGTACTATGCCGTGGTCGCAGGGACGTACTAAGCCGAGGATTGAGAGCCGTGCTGTTCCCGTGTTGTCCACTGATCATGCTGTGAGTGTGCAGGGACCCCGACCCACTAATTCTAGAACCTAAAGTACCACCTCAGTTTGCTTTTCGTAATTATTATAAATGTCAGGTGCTTTTTGTAGTTAAATATCAGGTTAGATTTAGACCCGAAATTCAACAAATCTTGTTAATCTACTGCTCATCAATGAAGCATTTCCTTGTGTTTGAAATGTTTCCGTGTGTTTGGCTAACCTGGTTGTCCGGGCAGGGTGGCGGTTGAGAACCTGGGGCTAGTAGCTGTACTGTATCTCGCATCTCCAGTTACTCCTGTAGCAGTTGATATCTTCCTTCCAGTGGTTCCTGTTTGAGAGATCTGCATTTAGAAATGTTTAAATAATAAAAGTTACTTGTGTTCAAAAATAGTTAATGCTAGTGATGATTCCTCAAAAAAGATAAATTTTCAAAGCAAAATGGGGAATAATGAAATGGATCAGGATAATTCTTATTTATGGTTGAAATCAAAATAAACTGAACAACTTTTCCCTAACCTGTCTTGAGATATCTAACGTGAAACGTTAGAATTGAACAAAAGTAATTACTTAATAATCTAGGCCAGCAAGATAAACTTGGCGGTTCATCATGAATATTGGTAGCTGGCTATAATTGACAATTGTTGGTTTTTCACCATACTTTTTTTGCAGATTAGTATAGCCAAGTAGAAGCGGCATAAAATTGAACATTTAGTCAGTGGCGTAACGTTGCCTGTTGGCGCCCCCCCCCCCCCCCTCCGAAAAAGCACCCCTGTTACCCCTCCCTTAAATTGAACAAATTAGGTGATTTTAGAGGATACTCCGGTAAAATCAGCTTTACTAGTACCTCAGTTAAGTTTTCAAAATTGTCCCACATTCAAACGACGATTGCCCCCCCCCCCCCCCCGCACAGCAGTGAGCAGAGCCCTTCGTTACGCCACTGCGTTTAGTAATGTAAACTGTTCAATCTCAAAGAAAACTCCTAATATAAGTGTACAGCGGATTATAGCTTACTATTAGCACTTTTATATAATAAGTTTAGCAACATTTTGCAGAATATGGGCATCACAATTAGCCTTGATAGATTAAGAAATTACCGTTATTACAGGTGTATGAGAAGCGTTGATAAGAAGCTGACATCTTCTAATACTCCATAATAGTTAGAATAAACATCAGGAATTGGTACATAGCAGTTAGCACACCATTTAGGCACTTACCAGATAGATCAAAGGTATATTTAGTTTACTGTTGAAGATTGATGGTGAAACGAATAAAGCAAAGATGCGTCATGCAATGGATTTTATAAGTTGAGATAAGAATTGAGATTAAAAAGACCAATACCAGAAGAGAATACGAGAACAGAAAAACATGCCATTCCTAAAAATTCATGCAGACAGTCATGCGATCAAAAATGAGCAAGTCCGTTCTAGCATGGGCTAGTGACCCTAGCCCATGCTAATTCATGCACGCAGCCTATCCTGGCCTTACCCTGAGAACTTTCCTCCAACAATGACAGTTCGGCGGATGTCATGTTAGTTGTTTCCCCCCTGGCAGCCTTATTCGCCACAACCTCATTTCGAGGTCTGGCTTTCATGATAGGCATTTCCACTTTACCTTGAAGTTTAGCGTTAAAGTCCTTGTTAGTCGGGATTGATAATGTGACTTGTTGGTCTACGCCGCTGGATTTAAGCTAATGATACTAGATAATATTGAACATAGGCCTCCTTAGTATTGAAATGGCGGCTGAACTGGCTTAATCCGCTGAAGAAATCGTAGTAGCTCGAGTAACTTAACGAAACCTCGAAAATAGGTCTCGTCTTGCAGGAGCCAAATAAATCATTAGTTATTCTCTTGTTGAACTTGGAAGTTTACGAGATGTGACCAGATCAGTGGCCCATCTTGCCAAAAAAATGCGTTAGCATAAAAAACAATCTCGCTCGTATAATAATTTAGTCCAAGTTGCAACAAACGTCATTATGCGTTTTCAGACATAAACCATGCAGTTTCTGTAATCGATTCCGCACGTGCGCGCTCAACAAACAAACAAACAAACAAATCTCCATAACAATACTCAAGATCAAACAATCAATAGAACCCTCAAAGCTGTAAAAAAACACACACAAATAAAACACACATAAACTGGTATCCTGCAGACACGTACCGTAGCTAGCAGGAGCGCCGGCGCTGTTATTGGAGCTGGTCATAAACCGGCTGGTACCTGTACTCAGCTTCTCTGTCCAGGCGTTACGGACGTCCGGCTTACCGAAGCAGTGGAAGTAGAATATCACGATACCCTACAGAGGTTATCATTAAGGTAAATAAGAAGACGGATCTTGTTTAATAATTATACATTAATTTCGTTCAACAGACCAGCTGCTCGTGAAAGTATCTAACTTTCAACATATAATATGCTAGTAGTACCTGGAAGGAGTTGAGGATGATGTAGAGATAGTTGAAGACCAGAGTGCCCACACTGCCTCCAACTGTCATGGCTCCAAACACCCAGCTTATTCCTGGGGAGAGAGTGGAAAGTATAGCTAGTGTGCTTCATCTCTATAGTTTTATAATGCAAGTCAAGCAAATCTTGGTGATTTTTGAAACGTTGCAGTTGGAAGTCGGAACTACGGACTTCTATAAACTTACGGTATTGAACGTTGAAAGATGTACTATCCTATTAGTATTCGTAGTTATTCCTATTAGTGCTTTATATTTTTTTCATTGATCGTATCATTATTAATATAATTTAAAAGTTCAAATCTCTCTAAACCTAAATAAACAAACCAGTGATAGATGCGATGACAGTAACTTGACGCAGATCAGTCCACCCATCTCGGTTCTTGGTCGCTTTAGCCAGCACGATGATAACCCTCACAAATATGAAGATGTTGACCGCCATCATCAGCATTATCGGTGCTACGAAGAAGTACATCCGTCCACGGTGGTTCAGGAAACAACTGAGATTAAAGTTTGTTTAATAAGACCTAAGACCTTGTAATTACTCTAATATTACTATTAGTGTTGACTACGTTTCTTTTGTGGTAACCGATTAACACTTAACAGATGTGATCTATTATTCACATCAATCTCTCGATGAGTTATACAGATGTAGATGGTTTGAAAATGTGAAGATGGAAGTTTCAGTTCATTAATAATTTACCTACCATTGGGCCTTAGAAGACGCTTATTTGGTCGGTGCAGAAAAAAAGCGAAATATGAAAGTAAGACGAAATATTAAGGATCCCTTCTTTGAATAAAGAAGAATGCGGAGGAGGCAAGTAGGAGAGGGAAGATTTACGCAGATGAGAAATATATCAGTCAGGGATTCCAGTAGGGGGTGATGGAGACAGACTCCTATAGTTCCCAGCAGAAGGAGGGGGCGATGGAGACAGACTCCTATAGTTCCCAGCAGAAGGAGGGGGCGATGGAGACAGACTCCTGTGGGAGGATTCTAGCCTCCGGGTCCGGGGAAGGTTTGCTGCATGAACTCTACCAGGGGACTGTGTGGGAGAAGCCAGGAACACCTCATTCCGTAATCTGAATCCTTGTACTACAAAAAACAACAGGTACACAAGAAGAGATTTCAGGAGGTAGTACATTGTGAAGGAGTAAAAATCTGTTTCCTGGACGACATCATCTGGAGTTTCTTTTATTACGTCACCAACAAATTCCCTGACGTCATCAGGTGATGTGGCCATCTGGTGAGGTGAAAGTGAGAAAGTTGCACGAAACGGGAAAGATACAATACGAAGTGATAAACATTTCTAAAAGTGTACTTAATGTACAGTGTGTACAATCAGGAAACAGAACAATGCGGTGTTGTTAACGCGTAGTTCGAGCAGCCTGCAGCGCATAGAATTAGGAGTAGTGTTAGTTACAGTCATACATCAATATTAAAGCGGTGTTTATAAAATGTTGTACATCAATATAAAAGCTTTGTAGATAAACTGTCGTACATCCACAGTTTTTTGGGAAGGACGACTGCGCTATAATCTGCAGTCTCCAAACCTAAAATTTAGAAACTAACTAGTATTATAGTAGTATACGGGGATGATATATGTAAAGATAACTTAAATAACCTAAGAACGAAGTGAGGCGACAACGTTCACGGCCAGGTAACAATATGTACCGTTTAGCACATGTGACGATACATTCATTTGGCACATGGTGAACGGTTATAAGACTAAATGTACAAAAACACTGATTTGGCAGTTGGCACGCGTCTGAGCAGTTAAAAAACTGTAAAAAGTAAACATCAAACAGCGGCTTAACTGCCATCAAATTCGACTTATTTAACCAGTACAAGCTGGAGGAATTTACAAAACATACAAATGAAAATTTAAAACTTGAATAGAAGAAGGGATAATAATAATAACTTTAACTTATCATTACAACGTTCCAGACCGAAATACCAAAGCAACCATAATTAATATATTAGAGGTTAAAATAATGATTGTACAACACATTTAATGCAGAACATTACAGTTTACACAGAGAGAGAGAGAGAGAGAGAGAGAGAGAGAGAGAGAGAGAGAGAGAGAGAGAGAGAGAGAGAGAGAGAGAGAGAGAGAGAGAGAGAGAGAGAGAGAGAGAGAGAGAGAGAGAGAGAGAGAGAGAGAGAGAGAGAGAGAGAGAGAGAGAGAAAGAGAGAGAGAAAGAGAAAGAGAGGCAAACTGTTCATAACGGCAACGTGCTAACTGTAACTCAGCGTGTTCTGTGCTGTAATGTAACCGTATATAAACCCTCACTCTTAGAAGAGGAGAAACTATGAAACTATGTAACAGGAGAAACTATGTAACCTCTAAATCTGGCTGCTAACAAAGGGAGGAGAACCTGCTGATGTCACCCTACTTCCAACAACTATAGGTACTGCTCCGTTTCCCGCTCATTGGACCAATGAAAGCATGTTTATGTTATGTTGCAATAGAAAATGATTACTCCCTTTTGCCATTAGGGACACGTCAGTGGTCAACAACCAAATGGAGGAAGAGTTTTGAAAATGACTTTAAGTTAAATGCAAGTGTAACTTGTAAACGGGATGTCTATAAATTGTTTTATTTTCAAAATGAGTTGGTGTAAATAAATGGCGTACAATAGTTCAGTTGGAGTATTGTTTGATTTCAGTAAATAGTAGTGCAGTTTACCGCAATTAGTAAGGACGATGGTTCTTATTAAATTGGGCACTTTACGCAATATATAATCTTCCATGAGGTCGTGTACTAAATCTCCCTTCGCAATTTCTTTGTTTACCGTTCTCCTCTTTTTGTTAGTTTTAGAACTGCTCGATGATAGCCATCGTTAACGAATAGAATAATAGATACAACTGATATAGAATATATAGATATAGAATTATAATGGAAACCACCTGGTATGACTAGGTAAGTAACTCTCTAGCCATGCAACCAAGGTAATTAGCACCGCCACAATTAAAGCACCAGTTACCCTCCCAATAATGGAAAACTTCACATGCGACACGTTGTTGAGGGCTGGAAGTTTCGTTTTCAAAAACTGAGAATTGGACAGAAAATGGGACAATATGATTTTTCAATTTCCTTCGGGATTTTGAATTCCAGTAACCCAATTTGGTCTCATTTAACTGACTAATTGGTCACTGGGCAACATTTTCATCAAATCTGTAAAATTTCTGTTCAGAAAATATCATATTTGAAAATGGGGCAAAAATTGTAAAATATCAATTTTCGTTTTGTAAAGATTTCTGTAATTTGGTTCCTCCGACCTGAATCAAACTTCAAGCACCTCAATTGTGTCACATGGCATCTATAGTTAACTGCCACTAAATTCGACTTGTTCAACCAGCAAAATCTGGAGGAATTTACAAAATATGTAAATGAAAAGTTAAAACTTGAAAAGAAGAAGCGAAGGAATAATTACAACAACTTATCAGCACAAAGTGCCAGACCGAAATACCAAAGCAACCAAAATAAATATAATGATTGTTGGACACATGTAATGCAGAACATATCACCAAAGAGAGAGAAGCAACGTGCTAACTGTAACTCAGCATGTTCTGTGCTGTAATGTAACCGTATATAAACCCTGACTCTTATATAAGCTTAGAAGAGGAGAAACTATGAAACTATGTAAGAGGATAAACTATGTAACCTCTAAATCTGGCTGCTAACAAAGGGAGGAGTATTTGGTAAGTTCCGCTGCTGTTACACGCTTGTAAAACCAGCTGTTCTATTCAAATCTTAATGTGAGTAGCTGTGTACATATGCTGGTCATTCAGTCGAAAAGAGAGAGAGATAAGAAACCAACAACCAATGTATATAAAAATAAAGAGAGCAGCTGAGAACGTGGCTGATGTAACCTTACTTCCAACAACTGTAGGTACAGAGTAACAAGTGTTGAATTACCAAGCTGACAACACTCCGGTGCCGTCTAAACTGTCGACTGAGTACAACAGAGGTGGTGTACATGTTCATTACTATTATATGAATATGTACAATGTCATCATGTCTCCAGTCATTAGGTAATAGGTTGTGCTGCCACGGGTTTGTTACTGTTAGAGGTATGTTAGAGGTAACCTAGTCTCTACTACCGGATATTATCCCTGGAATCATTATCTTATCATGAGACTGATAAACAGCGAACCTCTCCAGGATCTCATATGTTAGAGGTATGATAGATAAACTGTTGCAGCAATACGCAATAGTTACAGACAGAACAATGTGAAATGCAAACATCCCCAGGAATGTACCGTGTAATATGTAGGAAGTGAGATGATAATTTGTAGGAAGTGAGATGGTAATGAGATACAAAAGGAACTTGGCAGAATTTCGGCGCTTGTTTCCGGTCTGGGTTAGATAACTGCTGATTAAGTTCTGGAAGTATCGTTAAAGTGCGCTGGGAGAGGCATCCCTCTTGCGACACAAAAGATAAATTATCAGTTATCAACTTATCAAACAAGAGATGAGGTTGCAGTTGTTGATATGAATAGGATTGAGAATTGAATCCTTATTTCCGTTCCTTGCTGAGCCACAGACACCGCGAAAAGCCACAAAATACTACGAATACGTCTCTTACAAAGGAAACACACTAGACTACGAGTGACAACTTACTATTTGGCGGTCATACACACTTCATAGAGCTCGAATCCAGCGACGAAAGCGTCCGTCAGCACAGTTATTAGACAGATGAGCGCAGGGAAACCCCAGGAAAAGCAATGGGCAGCTATTTTCAACTTCTTGTGGTTTACTCCGAACACGATGATCAGGGCTATGTAGAGGTTAACCCCCTCCACCAACATCCAACAAATGGAGGAGAGGAACCTGCGGGTTTATACATGTCAAACTTTACAGTAATATTCTAATATACATATTCTACATTCTAATTGTAAATTTATCCCAACCAACGTAAATGAACATTCTGAGAATAATTTAAACAGCAGTCAGTTTGCATTATAAAAACTGCGCTTTATTTACATTTTTCCTCATATTTCATGTAATCCTGTACTTTGACCAATCAACAATTGTGGACATTTTCAATAAAAATATAACCATCTCACATGTAATGGATGAGGACAGCGAACACTTTACACACAACAAAGTTCTCTCTCCTGTCCAGTCCGACCAAGAAGACCAGCATAGCGAGTCCCAGAGTAAGTGCTAGACACAGGTGGATGTGGTAAGTAGGGTTCCGTCTCATCTTCCTGGGGAGAATAGGAACGTAGAACAAAGTTAAGAGAGTACTTCACTATACCGCACGTGTGCTTTTAAAGCCGCGCTTACATCATCTTAAAAGCAGGCTGGCTTATGTTATTATTAACGTGACTGTGAAAGATGGTCTGAAAAAGTTACAATTTCAAAGTATAAATAAGGAGTGGAGACTCCAACTCTATATCAACGAGTAAGAAGTTTTGTGAGATCACTGATAAGTTCACTGTAAGGCTCTGAAGAGTAACCATGAGCGCGAAGAATTCGAAGAATGTTACCCGATAGCGAGTCCCACAACAGTGAGAGTAAGACACAGAATAGAGAGAGAACTCCCGGTGATAGTCAGTACTGTCATGGCAGTTTGATGAGCCGGGCTGAACGAGTTGTTACCTACATTCTGGGAGTAGTTGGAGTGTTAGATCAACAAGCTTGTATAATGTAAAGGTGATAAACTGGTAAAAATGACCTCGATCATAAGCTTGTAAGGGGGATACAAATTTGAAACATAACTAAATCCTCTCATAACATTAAGTTTCCAGCAGCTGAATATCAAAAAACACAACACAGGTAACTAACCATGAGAACTGCAAAGTTAGTGAGATGGTCAGAAGAGCAGGAGACCCCAGAAGGGTTACAGCTGGTTATTTGCAGTCCAGTTTGACTCCACATCTGGGCCGCATCGTCCCAGTACACACAGTACGGTGTCCGGTCCTTGTCCACTCCCTAGTGGTCAACAGTTATTATTCAACAATACACATCGAAGGTATTATCATCATTAAACATATTGTGTAAATTGAAAACTTTGACAATGCAGGACAGCAAGAATGCAGCTCCTCGTGCATTATTGATCGCGAAACCCTTTTATACTAAATCACGAACTTCAGCTACTCCATCTCGCAAAGGAAATGAAGACTAAAGGATGAGGATTTTAACATACCCCTTGAGCAGACATAGTGAGAGTAGCAACTGGAGTAGTCCTCTTAGTTTTAGAATCAATATTAGTGGTCTCTGCAGCAGTCTCCGCGTCCACACTTCCTCCTAGTACACTGGACATTATGGAGAGGGTTCCCGTCTCAAACGGATTGCCAATAGCATCTGGGGTGTTTGTTAGTACTATCAGAGCAGTGAGGATAGACACATGTAGAGTTTAATAGATGACTGTTAATACTAGATTGTCACTGGATTATCACTGGAATGCCAGAGTGGGGGGCCGGGGAAGGGGGGGGGGGGGGGGGGTCAGTTAAGTTCAAAACTTATAATACCGCTGGAAAGTTCACTTACCAGCCACTACGACGTGTTCTCTACTGGCTATGAACATTTTACTGTTATTATAGACCATGAATGAGAGCTGTTTTGTCATCCTGGCTACGTCTCCTGCAATCTCAATAGATACGGTCATGGGCGCTGAAAATAAGTACACTGGTTAAGTTCTGCAGTATTATCAGTATCAGTTTTTGCATTGTTTTTAAGATATTATGAGATCGGGAATATTTTTCCGACTTTAAATTTAAAATTACATATATGCTTTTTAAAGAGCGACGAAACTTTTTAAAACCTGAAGTTCACATTCAAAAGCAAAACAAATTTTCAACACAATCCAACCAATCTGAAAATCTTACTCTCTTCCACCACGTCTGTCAGCTCAGCAGGTGTGTCATTCAAAGTTGAGCCGTTCCCACCCTGTCTAGTCATATGCCCAGTCCTCTTCTTGTTCCCTTCTGTATCCAAGTTATCAGTACTAAAATCCACTTCGTCTATTGGTGTAGACGCTTTCTTTGATAAGGAAAACGATACCGATCCGATCTGTGTGTCTAGAGAGAAATGTTTTATTATGTGGGTTAAAATATATGGAACATGCTGCGCTGGGATAATAAAGGTTTTGGGGCAGAAGTGAAGATATCTTAGTTTCTGTCTTTCTGTCATGACCCGGTATCAGAAGTGAAAGATATTTTAATTTCTATCTTTCTTTCATGACCCGGTATCAGAAGTGAAAGATATCGTAATTTCTATCTTTCTTTCATGACCCGTTATCAATTCGACGAGTAAAATTTGCAATGTTGCTTCAATGAATGGAAAATCTAAAGTTCTATATAAGTTATACCTGGTATATCCATAACCTTGATACCGACTGATTTTTTCTTCAGGGTAATCTCTTTACCAGCTTCCGGCCTCATCTTTTTGGCTGCTGATTCAATTGAGTCTACTAGCCTAGATAAATTAAGATTTAGATTTTTTTTTGAAATCTTCTAATCAATTACCATACATACATATTAAAACAATGGATTTTAAAAATGAGTCCTGAACGTAAATACTGAAAGGTGTCAGATATGGGGTCTCTCACATATAACAAAAATGTAGACAAGATGAACGTCGAATCGGGGAAAATTCATAGCAAATAAAAATGACCCAATCACTGCCTCAAGAACTCAAATCTATGGTTAACACTGCAGGAAGCTTGATTTTGGAAACACAAATTGAGACTCACTTTTTGGGTCCATTGGAGGCCTTCTTGCTGCTGACAATATCCTCGTCAGATACCGTTATTGTGAGAGTGTCGAACACATCCAACACACTATTAACCACCTGTAAAGTGTAGATAGGCTCGTTAGAGAGATAAGACGAGGGAAAAGGAGTGAGATACTTTTTAACCCTCACCATTGAGTTTCACCTCCCGGTTTTAAACTTTTGGCCCAACTTTTACCCTGATCCTAACAGCAAATGGTGGTGAAACTAACCTCTTACCAGACAACAAATACCAGATTATACAAATAATACAACTACGTAACACTAGTCTGCTTACCCCTTCAGTGATGTTGTCTACTTTGGTAATATTAGTAGAAATATCCGCAGCAAGGTTCACGTGAACAGTTCCCAGATCATCTGCTTTTGAAATCGCTACAGAGGTCTGTGAAGCTATATCCTCAACATTTTCATCAGATATTATCTGAATTTAAGGTATGAAATGTGGTGCAAACTGACAGAATAGGAATAAACAGATCGAAAGAGTCAGCAAGCCAATTAAATCGGTCAATTAAAAAACCAAACATTTTTTGACAAACTTATGGACCAGCTGACGAACCATTATGCAAACAGAATGTAATAAAAAGTTGAGAATGTAAGTAATGAGAATGTAAGCAATGAGAAGTATAACAACCAGAGGTTCCTACACCCCTGATAACAACTCACAGTTTCACTGTAGAGGATCTTGTATAGTTCCTGAGCAGCTTCCGATTGGAATGAACATGTGGCATTATCGTACTTAGCGGCATTGTTATCTGTATCACAGAGGGCGATAACAGTCTGGGGATATGGTTACTATGGTTACAACATTTAAACCTTATATAGCTTCCTTTCAATCTAAAAACTAACATCTTGTTATTAACAACACATAAGATTATAGACCTCAGACGACTCAATATATAAACGATTAGAAAAGTTAAGGCAACTACTGACCAAACTGAATGTACGGGGGGAAAAGCAGAAAAAAATATAGTTCTAACCAGAGGAAGGAACCTAGTCATGAAGCTCCCGTATGGACAAAGAGCGAAGTAGCCATCCTGATAGTTCCTCCAGGTATAGACACCTGAGAAGGGACTTTCTCCCTCTGGAGCCGTACATCCTGATTGTGTTGCTGTGGGGTGGCGAGTTAGGGGGAAGTTGGTAGAAGAACACTGAACAGTTTCAGGACAAATGTGTTTACGGAATTATTTCTGAACTGTCAGGAATCGGAGTTTGAAACTGAGATTGTGAACGATTTCATTATCCGTGGAGTACGACATTGAAAAGCGAGTGAAAGATTCAAATGAACTAACGGCATTGACAGTATTGTAATGAAAAGTGAGAGAAATATTGAACTAACGGCATTGACAGTATTGTAATCAGTAATGAAAACCGAGAGAAATATGGAACTATAAACGGCATTGACAGTATTGTAATCAGTAATGAAAACCGAGAGAAATATTGAACTAACGGCATTGACAGTATTGTTTTATATCCTTATCTCCCGGACACACAGCATCTCCAGCAGTTCCACCCACACATTCCCTTTTTATCAACTTCTGACAGTCCTCACCACAGTCACCCGACTCAGAGGTGGTCCAACCCTGTTTATCTGAGGTAATGTTAGTTAGTTTTCAGAGATGTTACTCGGATAATTTTATAATATGCATCTGCACCCCGTACTCCCTCCAATGTGTTTTTGAATATTGAATATTGATGCTATAATTTGATGGTTTAATATCGGTTCCGAAAAGTTGCTCGGATACCTTGAAATAACTTTGACACTATTGTTATCAGTTTTATATTCATACTAGTGGAACCCGTATCTACGGGCGGGACTTCACTATCGCAGTTGAATTGCAAAAGTATAAAGTATAAACAGTGCAAATGTTAAAATTGTGCAAAAGTATAAACTCGCTCAGCTGAAACCGAGCGCCCATCACTTAATACGCATCCAATAGTAATACTTAATAGGCTCCACTGCCAAATTACCTAATAGTAATTATGTAAAAAGCAGTAATTAAGGGAGCTGTAAATGGGGAGAGAGAGTGAGAGAGAGTGAGAGAGAGGGACAAAAACACACACACATGAATAATATGGCGTTAATTGGAGGACTTTATTTGTTCTGGAGATTTTACACTGAAACAAAAGAATTAAACTAACCGACAGCGACATTGAAAGTGTTGATTTGATCGTCCAGAGTCAGGTCCTCCCCTGTGCCTGTCAGGCCCTGTTTGGTTACATACTGTCAAGAAATAAGCATTTGTGTTCAGCTTCTCTGTGGATAAGTTTAAAAACCAGTGTCTCACGGGTATAGGACGCGAGGGCGGAAGTCGCGAGGGCGGAGGTCTCGAGGACGGAAGACCCAAGGGCGTAGGACTCAAGGGCGGAAGTTTCCTAAAAGGTTGGACTTGAGGGCGGAGGTCGCGAGGGCGGACGCGGAGGTCAATCACGTGACACAAGAGCGGAAGTTTCCTAAAATGATCACATGTCCTAAATGTTGGACTAGTAATACTACAAAACCTGCGACATCACACAACTTACTTATGATTGTATAAATTATACAGTCATTTTAGTGATCCTGATTTCGAATTCTTTGTAACTTTACTCAAAAAACACACAGGGTTATAGATAGCGCTTAAAGTTAATATAACTCAATGTAATCAATCAATTTTTTCAAAACCCGAATAAAATAATATCAACAATAACGTAAACATTTCACATAGCACTCTTCAGCAAATCAAGATACGTTAAAACATCATCCTCGTACAAATGGTAGTTCTCGACGATGCTGCTGAGTCTCTTATCCTTGTCACTATTGGCCTTCTTCCTTTTAGGCGGCTGCTCTCCAAGATAATTGGCTAAGATCTTCTTATCTGTTGAGGCCTGCTCCATCTGGACTGCTGCGATGAAGTTGAAGATGGTAGGGTTGGCGTGTCCAACGAGAGCAGAGAACTTCTTGTTCCAGGACTCCACCAAGTTAAGTTCGTTTCACAGTGCAATCTCTTCGTGTGGAAACGTTGATCTGATCCCAGAATATTATCGCTCGTGACGTTGTGATGTCCCCACATACCGTTGTGCGATGTGAGATCATGCTCTCGTTTAAACACAAAAGCACCCATGGTGATTTATGACGTGAGTCGAAGTTATGTGTCATGTGACTCGATTCGATAGTTTGAGTCACATGACACAAGGGCTCGAGCTCCTGGGATCTGATCAACTGTTTCCACACGAAATGTTTACGTTACTGTTGATATTATTTTATTCGGGTTTTGAAAAAATTGATTGATTTATAACATTGAGTTATATTAACTTTAAGCGCTATCTATAACCCTGTGTGTTTTTTGAGTAAAGTTACAAAGAATTCGAAATCAGGATCACTAAAATGACTGTATAATTTATACAAGTAATATAATTTATACAAGTAAGTTGTGTGATGTTGCAGGTTTTGTAGTATTACTAGTCCAACATTTAGGACATGTGATCATTTTAGGAAACTTCCGCCCTTGTGTCATGTGATCGACCTCCGCCCTCGCGACCTCCGCCCTCAAGTCCAACCTTTTAGGAAACTTCCGCCCTTGAGTCCTACGCCCTTGGGTCTTCCGTCCTCGAGACCTCCGCCTTCGCGACTTCCGCCCTGGCGACGGATTCCCTAAAACAGCTTGAAATACTGACCTTGACTGTCTTTGCCATCACTACTCCATCCTCATTTTTCCATCTCAAAAATGTGTCATCAGTGATTGCCACAGCTCTGCCGATCTCCCACTTGTCAGATGACACCACGAAGGTTGTGCCACACGGGTCGTCCTTGGAGCACTGACTAAAGGAGCACTGTGATGTCTCACATTTCACCATCCAGTTATTAAGGCTATTCTTGAGAATCCTACGTTGGGGAAAAGGTTAATGTCAGGATGGTTTTATTCGGAAAGTTATTAGTGCCATACATTCTCGTGGTTTTTACTAGGCTGAATTTTGTGCATTTTTAAATGATCAAAGTAGCACTCACACCGAAATAAACCTCTCATCCTTAATTAGAATTCTGAGGAGCATGGAAAAAGTGCGTCAAGTTAAGGAGCATGTTCACTGTTCAGGTCAAGATGTCAACATAGTTGCCACGGAAACAATACACGTCTTAAAAAAAAGACCCTACTCAGTTACAAACCTGACAGTGTCTCCGAACCTAACAGCTTGTTTGTCCTTTCCGTCAGCACTTTTCAGTTTTATCAGCTCCTCACCCACCTTACCCTCCTCAATAACATCACCCGCCCTGAAGGGAGTCCCGTACCGCAAAACACCACAGTGTTGGTGGTCCGGTGTCGTAGAAATCTTCACTCCTGAGTGGTTTAGATTTACTTTTCTGTCTTGCTACTGCAGGTCTTGCCAAAGGACCGCTAAAGGACCGGTTTTGCGTCATCAAGGGTAGGATTTGGAGCCTGATAGATGCTAAATCCCCATGATTATTATATTTCAAGTTGATTCCACTATTTATTATATAATTACCAGTCTAATGAAATTTTAATGTTTGACATGTTACAGTTAACACGTAACAACATCGACAAACCAGATGATGAGTAATGAAGAAGATCCCTCCATCTCAGAATGAGATTAGGTTCCTGGACTACAATCGGACCACACTTGAAACTGTCAGATGTTTTCTTTGTCATCTGTTTCATCTCGTCTGCTGATAGCAACTTCTTCCACACATTCAGGTTCATTATGGAGCCCCTGGTGATGTTAATGGTGACAATTTTCTTTCTTTTCTATTCCTTTTTAAGCTGTATCAGTCTGGCTGATGATTTAATACTGCTTCCAACAGAAACGTTCTAAATTTGTTAAGTCAGTTTAATCATCGAATAAAATTGTTTTACTGAAGTTCCCGCGCTACTCACTTTAAAGTTGTACTTGTAGTCCCCGAATAGCTCGCGTCTCCCTGCCGCCCCACATACAAAACTCCAGTGTTATTGAGTTTAGCATTGTACAAATTCTTCGGCCACACTGTAAATAAAATAGGCGGATGATCGTCAGGGAATTTTCGTGTTGTCACCAATAAACGGAGAGCTGCCTCTTAGATTATCACAACAACGGCTGGTCAGGCGGTAAGATAAGAGATCCAGTCAAACTTTTTGGAATTGTTGAATAATACTTAAGAAGGGAAATGCCATAACAGACGTATTTAATAACCGGGAAATTTTAGGTACAATCTTGGGAAACAAAACTCCACAACGCCTACCTGCAAGGGTTTTATCCGTAGAGATTGCTTCCCCGTCAACAACTAATTTAACAGTTCCTTGATCATTTGATGGCCCGGTGGCAGTTTGCCAAGCGATACAAACCGAGTGCCAGACACCATCCAACAGTTGAACTCCGAAGAAGTTTACTCGGTTGTGCACTGTGAACTCTAGAATATCTGAGGAATGATAAGAAAGTGGTCAGTAATCTCTATTAGTATCAATAATTGTACCATTTCTATATAAATTGCTTACTATTTCAGTTGATAAACCTTTAAATTTAAGGTCGAAATTTTACGTGCAATTCTATTGTGTTCCGAAAGATATTTTACCCTGTTTTTTGTTTTGAAACTGCCGTTAAAATGTATGCTATGAATTTGATCTTTAACTCTCATATTCAATGTCCATGATCAGACTGTGATCTCGAGTTCTCAGGGTTACTCCTTTTGATGGTATAACCTGTAAGCTGAATTAGTTTTATATTTAGGCCGGGTTTGTACTTGTAAATATATTGTGTACCAAATAGAAACTTGCCCTGTTTTGACACCGCCAGTAAAATTATGTTTTTGCGAATTTTACGTTCTACTCTCATGTTTTCTCCGTTTCAAACTCTCTTATTAACTTTGGTCGTAGTTGCTTACAGTTGACAAACTCACACTCATGCGGAAAGTGCCGATATTTTGATCGTTTAGGGGCCATCTACTTAGGACGTCCGCCAAAATCGCAGATTTTCAGACCACCCCCTCCCCCTGTCCGGGTGTGTCCGAATTTTCAAAACCACCTCCTCCCCCGGACGTCCGGATTTCCAGCTACTTTTAATAGTACAAATAAAACCAACTCAAATTCATTGTTAATAAAATTCAAAGAGTTGAAATAAAACTCAAAGAGTTGAAATAAAATTCAAAGAGTTGAAATAAATGGGACTTTTTCGTAAATTCTGCCAAAATTTCCGGACGTCCGGATTTTCAGAATTGTGAGGGGGCATCCAGTCTATAACTCATCAGTCCAGTCAGTCTAGCCAGCATGCTCTTAGTGAACAGTTAAATAATAGAAGCTTGTAATCTGTCGGCGAATGCTATAGACCCGTCTGTGCTAGTCTTTGCTTTGACTCTATTACTCTTGGTAAGAGTCAAAGCAAATACCCAGACCAATGACAAAAAATGCATTGCTCATGAGCATTGCAAGCGGAGGACCAGGGTCCCTGCTTTATTGTGACAAGCAAACCTGTCGCTAACTCTTCACGGATAGTAACTAAGACATTAGAAAATGGACTCGGTTATGTAGTTATGTCGACGCCACGAATATGTGAGAGCTGGGTTTTTGGTTTTATTTCTAGAACAGTCTCTATATTTATGCTACGCAAGTTAGTCTACGTGGCTTTTATAGTGTTATAATTGAAAAAAGCCCACAAATTAGGATTCATTTTAATTTTCTGGTATTTTTCGGCAGCCTCAAATTTCCTTTTCGTAACACCCGGTTCCAGCAAAATCAGGCAAACTGGAAAATAGATTGATATCCGGCCGTTTCCGGTACGGCAGCCAAAACCCCATACCGGTCGGTTCCTTTTTATAGAGGCTAAGCCTAGACGGCCCACGAGAGGATAGGATAGCATGAGAATATTTTGCTTCCTGAGCGGGGTTGTCGGAGGTATTAAGGTGTACACTTATAGGGGGGGGGGGGGGGGGGATATCAAGTGTTATGAGGGGAGGAGTCATGAAGCTTCAAGAGATATCTCGAGTTCGGCTGCTTAAAATTGGCCCAAAATTTCACCGATTATCCGTCTCCTGGCCATACAGCGATGTGAAAAGTTTGAAGAAAGTGGGCCTTTGAGTTTCGAGATATGCGCCTTTGTTACCCCCAAAATTGACCCTTTGGATAAGGTTTCCTGTGTTTGCAAGAATATCTTGAGTTCGGCTGCTTAAAATTGGCCAAAAATTTCACCGATTATCCGTCTCCTGGCCATACAAATGTGTGAAAAGTTTAAGTAAAGTGCAATTTGTAAGTCTCGAGATATGGGCCTGCGATATTGGCCTGAGATAGGGTTTTCGGGTTTTCAAGGGATATCCCGAGTTCGGCTGCTTAAATTTGGCCCAAAATTTCAACGATTATCTGTCTCGTGGCCATACAACTGCGTGAAAAGTTTGAAGAAAGTGTGATCTTTAAGTCTCGAGATATGGGCCTGCGATACTGGCCTGGGTTAGGGGTTTTCGGTTTTTCAAGGGATATATCAAGTTCGGCTGCTTAAAATTTGCCCAAAATCTCACCGATTATCCGTGTCCTGGCCATACAGCGATGTGAAAAGTTTGAAGGAAGTGGGACTTTTGAGTCTCGAGATATGCGCCTTTGTGACCCCCAAAATTGCCCCTTTGGATAAGGTTTCCTGTGTTTGCGATAGGAACCGACCAGATATCCGGCTGAATCCGGTTCCGGCCGGATATTCGGCTTCAATATCTGGTTCCGGCTCCGGTCCGGTTTCAGAAAATTTTGCAGATTTTTGCCGGATATTTCTTTTTAAAAAATGTATTTCTTAAATCTTGAAATGCATATTTTTCGTCACATTTTAACTCGAATCTTTAAAAAATCAAATGTTTTGACTAGGTGCGGAATTCAAAAAGCCGAAAGAATATTTTCGGATAATAATGAACAGGGTAGCATGAAACGTGGAGAAAAGTGGTTTCCAGAAAAAGTTTTGACTTAGAAAATTTTCGGTCCGAGTCTTTCTTGATACTTACCTCCGGTATCGAGAGCTCCCGCTTCCGAGCAATTGTGTTGTAAAGGGGAGGCCTGCCTTCCGAGATCGCACTACCAGGGGAAGCCTCGAGACCAAAACCTATGTAGTATAGAGGAGAACCGAACCTTATTACGAACAGTAGCTCTAGTAATGCTCTTTATCACATTTTGTTGTTATGATCCAGTTTTGGCTCCGAGTCAACTATTGTGCAGACAGCAGACTGCTGTCTAGTAAAAACGATCCAGCGATAAAATATGCCTGCATGCTAAAAAGGTACAATTGTGCCCTGAATCGGAAGCTATTGTGCTTTGATATTCAGACACGCATGACAAAAAGATAACAACTACGTCTCACACGTGCAATCGCGGGGAGGCCGACTAATTAGGAGACCCCCGATTATCAGGGTCAGATCATGTCACCAATTAGTGACGTATAATTATAATCGGACAGGATCTCAACAGCTACTTGACTCTGATGGATACATCTACTTTCGGAAGAAGGACAAGGATTCAGCCCTCACAGATGCCTGGCGGTGCTGCAAGCACAAACTTTCTACGAAGTATCCCGGTCTGTGCTATCTCTCCCTCTCAGACAATTCTCTAAATTCTCTGCTGTAGCAACCGATTTCATTCTCGGTATCATTTTGCATTTGAGAACCGTTATTCCAACTGATATCATTTCCTTTTGTTTGCGAAAAGGAGACACTGGCAACGGTCCACTCTTACTACTCTACCCAATTATGGGTTTTGGTAAAATATATAATAATAAGCTCCAGCAGTACAACATGCAAGTTTAATTACTCATAATTAATACACGTGCGACGAGCGGGCTACGGACATGACTTTAAATTTCTTATTACTTTATTATTATATTCATAGATAGAGATAAAAACAATGCATGTGCAAAGCGAGCATGTGTTGCAGACCTCTACGATCTGGAAGGGTCCATCAACAGTTATCACTGTAATCACTGCCTTGTGCCTAACTCAAGCTGTGGTGCGTGGGCAGCTGTTCTTAACTCTTTAAGATCTTAAACCCTTAGGAAAAATTCATTCGCCAGTAATAAATTATTTGTTGGCCGTGAATGAATGGAAAATGCGAGCGATCAATGTTAGTCCGCTAATTAATAATAACAGTGATTATACTTATACAATATACATATCTTAAGTAATAATCTCAATAAATCTGTGTGTGTGTGTGGGAAATTTACAATTAAATTCTACTGATGGATCACATAACTAATTATACGTCACTAATTGGTGACATGATCTGATCACCGAGGGACCCCTAATAATTGGGGGTCCCCTAAGTCGTGCAGCCCAATTGCGCTCAAGGGGTCTGGTAGGATATGCCAGTTGCATATCATTTCTGATAATAACTTGTTTACTCTGATCTTGTTACTTCTTGTTTACTCTGGTTACAACGTACTGCTTGTTGATTTGATATTTGACCTATGTGAATGTCTACTGCTAGGCCTAAACAGGAAACATCATCGGTATGGTTGTATTAATTTGCTCTTAGGAATGCGGAACTTATCGTGTAATTACAAACTATGGCTTAGTAGGATTAATATCAAAGTTGATAATGACAAAAGCCCAATAATAAGGATACATTAAAATTTTCCGGCAAGATCCGCGGCATCCTTATATTTGCCCTTCCTAACAACCGGTTCCGGTCCGGCAAAATCCGGCTAACCGGATAATAGATTGATATCCGGTAAAATCAGGTCCGGCAGCCAAAAGCTCATTCCGGTCGGTTCCTAGTTTGCAAGAATATCTTGAGTTCGGCTGCTTAAAATTGGCCCAAAATTTCACCGATTATCCGCCTCCTGGCCATACAACTGCGTGAAAAGTTTGAAGAAAGTATGATCTTTAAGTCTCGAGATATGGGCCTGCGATACTGGCCTGGGATAGGGTTTTTCGGGTTTTCAAGGGATATCTCAAGTTCGGCTGCTTAAAATTTGACCAAAATCTCACCGATTATCCGTGTCCTGGCCATACAGCGATGTGAAAGTTTGAAGAAAGTGGGACTTTTGAGTCTCGAGATATGCGCCTTTGTTACCCCCAAAATTGCCCCTTTGGATAAGGTTTCCTGTGTTTGCAAGAATATCTTGAGTTCGGCTGCTTAAAATTGGCCGAAAATTTCACCGATTATCCGTCTCCTGGCCATACAAATGTGTGAAAAGTTTGAGTAAAGTGCGATTTGTAAGTCTCGAGATATGGGCCTGCGATATTGGCCTGAGATAGGGTTTTCGGGTTTTCAAGGGATATCTCGAGTTCGGCTGCTTAAAATTGGCCCAAAATCTCACCGATTATCCGTCTCCTGGCCATACAACTGCGTGACAAGTTTGAGGAAAGTGAGATTTTTGAGTCTTGAGATATGCGCCTTTGTGACCCCCAAAATTGCCCCTTTAGATAAGGTTTCCTGTGTTTGCAAGAATATCTTGAGT